ACCACAATCCCGAATGCACCCTAAGTCTAGTTCAAATTTTAAAAGTCAGTTTAGTTCGTGAGAAACAGATGAAATGAGGAGGAATGAGGATATTGTTATCCTTTGATTTCCCTCCCTCCTTTCCCCTTCTTCTACCTTGGAGAAATTATAGCAAGGAGAGCCTCTCTCATCCCCTCCCCTTTAATAAAAATTATAGCAAGGAGAGCCTCTCCCACCCACTCCCCTCTAAACTTTTCTATCTAAATAATAAATTCTCTCATTTCCTCCCCTCTCCTTTTAAACCAGACAGGCTATAAGGAGTATCTAAATAATAAATTTTCTCTTATTCCCTCTTTTCACTCCTTTCAAACCAAACTGGCTTTAAGGAGGGTTATGAGATAGGATAAAAATAAAGGAAAAATGGAAAAATTCATCCTAGTTTGGATTTTGCACCTCTTAAAATTAGGATTTTTCCAATGGCACAGGAGGCTTCATCCAAACTACTGAGATTCGATCAAATGAACAACCTAGTCAAATGACCTCCAACGTCCAGCAAATCCAGTAGTTTTTAATCCAACGAGGACCAGTGGTCACGCAAAATAGGTGCACCATGGGAGGACTTACCGGGGAAACGGAAAGTCCTCCCTAGCCCCGATCTTATATGATTAAGGATTTAACCAATGTAAAAGTTCCAATATTGATTCCACCCCCCGTGATTTCTCCTTGACAACTGAGTTTAAATTGCAACATTGTTTTCCTCTCTCTGTTTCACTGGTTATCACCTACCATTACTAAAGATTCATTGGAAAGTTGCACTTCGATTTCCAGATGCTGGAAAAGCTTGTCGTCTTCTTCCTTGTTGAAATTCACCTGTCCCACCATCTTTTTCTACTCGACTGCTGTCTGAACCTTTCTTACGGGCAGAGCCATGCAGGCTCTTTCTAGTTTCCCCCTGAGCTTCAGATTCTTCTTTGGCATTGTCTCCAAATTTAACCTGCTTCCTAGCTGCTTCATAGTCAAATGACTTCAGTTGCAATAGGTTACTTGGCTCTTGCGACTTTTTCACTTTACCATGCTTTTTGTTTTGATTGATCGACTGGAAGCACTTTTGGAAGCTTGAAGACAAATCAGAAAGAGATACAGGTTCATCTTCTCGGTTTGTTTCCAAAATAAGTGATTGAGAATTCTCCTTCTTAGACATACCAGAAGTTTCTGTGCTTCCATTTGTTGATTCCTCAAGATCTGAATCATTTCCCAACATTATAACATCTTCTATGTTTGACTTGACAGATGCAACAGGAGGCTCTTCTGGTGGTGAAACCTCTGGAGCTCTTGTTGGATCCTCATTTACAGGTTTTAGCTGATCTTGTTCTTCCCTACCTTTAAATGAGTAGAACGGAAGATTCACTGAAGATCTAATCTGTTCCAACTTGATACCTACCATGTCCTAGAGATTGACAAAGTAGTCAGAAAGGATTCAAGCTGCAAAATATCTAATTCTTTATAGGTAATAATAGAGCAGGCATAGGGAAGGGGAAAATCTTATTGCCCTCTGACTTGTTATTTTTTGAGAGAAATTGCAGTTGATAAACTCACCTTTTTATCAACATCAGATTTCTTCTTTGTGGCTGCACTTCCCAGCAGTGCCCCAAAACCACGGCTTGGTTTCTTCAGAACCTGAATGCTTGCTTCAGTTACCTACAAGGAAACAAGATATTTAGGCGACCACCACTCAATTACAAAACAGAAAATAACAAGTACATTAAGTGCTGAAGAGCTTAACCTTCACTGAAGAACGCAAAATTGTAGAATCATTTGTTACTTCACTAGTTCCTGAGATGGCCACACTTTCCGTGGCAGACCTTGAGGTACCATATAAAATTGGCTGCTCAAGAGTGAATTCTTGGTTATTTTTTACAAGTTGTGGAATGCTGCTCCCCAGACCCAATGCTTTCTCTTTGAGCTGTGGAGAAGATAGTTGTTGGTGACTCATACTATCAGGCTGTGCAGCCTTGCCATCTAGGTTTTCTGTCCTATCATGTGCAGTTTTCAAGTCAATAGTGCTATCTGGAAGTAAAACTTCAGCTCCCTCAATAACTGTTGAATGATTCTCTTCTGGCACCTAGACAATAGTTAGCCCAAGGTTATCAAATGAAGAATCAATGATGCAGCACCAGACAATGATTATTGATGATTCAAATGCTTTTAGATTTTAAAACCAAAAAAAGCATAAACTCTATGGGCAACTTCAAGCCAGACAATACCATTTGCTCAGACATAAAGCATGAATAACTGCTACAATCATGATAAGTAAGCATAATAAAACCATATAACATTTGTGACTACTTTTCAGTAGCTAGAGACCACTGCAAATAGTGCTAACACTTAATTTAATCCATTCTTTGCATGTGTATATAATGCATCATTGTGAGACTTTGCATAACCATTCATCATCTTCATTTTCAATTTTGCATTTTCAATAAGATTCACACTGGATACCATGAGTAGACTACCATTTTCATTCCCCTCCATCCATCTGCATCAGGATGTGATACCAAGTTTGTCATCGATTTACCAGATGACAAATGGAAATTATGAACATACTACAAGATGCCTTATTCACATAATTGAAACTATCACGTGGAGTTTTATTCTGACACATCATCACAATCCAAAGGAAAATTAATCAGATAGTAACTCAAGAAAATAAGTAATCAGTTAACTAGCATTTTATCTTAAAAAAGTTTGATAAACAGATCTTACTGTTGATGTTACAATGCGTCTCTCCCTTAGTTGTTGGGCGGCAGCTTCAAAAGCAGAAGCATTCTGCATAGAGTTCTTGATGATGCTAACCACTGTACCGAGGTTGCGCTCAACATATGGGTGCTTAGATTTCAATAAACAGCGCAACTTGCTAGGAGAAACAGGCATCTGCTTGGCTTTTACCGGCAAAATGTAAAAATTAGATCAAAATTTGTCAAGAGCAGAATAATGTATAATGAGTTGATGGAAATTCACAAAATGGTCTCTACCAATTTCAAGAAGACTTTTGTTTGGCAATATATAACCAGTACTTTCATCCTCTCCACGGGCCATAATATCTCGCCATTCATAGAGTGCCTGCAAGCCATTTAAGCAATGTAAGCCAAAGAAAAATGCTTTTGACATTTTGTTCATGTATTTCTTCTTGGGCAAGAACATTGCATATCAATTGAGTATGCAACTGTTGTCTTGAAGTGAGATATAGATGATTTATAAGTCAGGACAAGCAACAACTTACTGCAACAATTGCAAGCTGTTCAGCATTTAAACCAGCTCCTTGCAAACTATATCAAATACAAAAAATTAGTGCAACTTATTAATCTGTTCCAAAACAACCAAGGGAAAGGAAACAAGAAGAAAAGAGAAAGGAATTGATGAAAAGCATACCCAGGTGATTGATTGCTGAGCTATTTGGTATGTGGGGAACAACTTACCCATAAATATGGAGATATGAATTCTCCATTAGAATCTCTTTCTCATACAATTGCATGCACACATTATAACTTTGCTTGTACACCTGATAACAAGAACAACTTTTTCAAAATTTAAATTAAAGCCAATAAAAAATTTACAGAAACCAACAAAGAAATTCTCATATTCTTGGATGCATTCACTGTTTTTTTAGGGTAAGAAAACAAAAAGAGCCAGAATGAAAATGCCAACAAAGATGAACTGCATCTATCTTCTCTAGGGGAAACATAAACATATTGCCATTTAATTTGAAGAAATTCTAATAGCTGGCCTCAATGTCACACTATAAATACCATTACCAACAATAGATAAGAGTATGGAGAGGAGAACAACCAAATTCTCAATAAATGTGAATAAATAACTAACAGAATCAAAACTTGTTTGTTTTCTGCAAGATGGGTCAGCACTAAAACTTGAATGCCCTTTGCTTGTAGACATAATGCCACAATTTATTATCATACCTCTACTAAAGGAGCATCAACATGTTCAGACTCTTTTGGCATTGAAGACAAGTTAATTCTCATTAAGTCATAAATATATAGCAAGTAGTGGGTATCTTCTCTGGCATATCTGTTGAGCAAGAAAAAGCAATTAGATAAAATTAAACACTAAACAATCTACAGGACAGGATCTCTCAACTCAAAACTGCAAAATATGTATGAAGAGGCAACATGGCTATTATAACAAGATTATAAAAAGAAATAACAACATCAACTAGCAACAAAGCTAACAAGTTGGTACAAATTGTTGTTAGGAATTTTGAAAAACAAAAATCTATAAGCAAGCATGCTGTACCTTATGGAACACTCATAGAAACCAGAAAAATAAAAAGGCATAAGAATGAGTGAAAAAAGAACGGCAACAGAAGAAAAAGAACAGGGTAAAGGTCCAAATGCGTATTTACCTAAGCATTTCATCAGGGAGTGGACGTAATCTCCAATCTGCCTTCTGGTATCTGCAATGAGTCAACTGATCAACCTTAAACGAATCTGAAGTGAACCAAGAAAGAGGAGAGAGAAGTAGAGAGTGAAGACAACAAGAAGTGAAAGATCAACTGAATTTACATGAGGACCTACTCTTTGTTGGCAGTAACTCCACAATAGTGGTGCAGAAGATGTTCCAAACTATTTCTTTCCAACTTCAAAACTCTCGAGGCCTAAGATGGGGAAAAAACTCCAATCAAACAAAGAACAGAAATGATTCTAAATCTTCTATGTTTCGTCCTGGTTTTCTTTAAGTATTAGTTATTGCATCAACCATGTGTAAAGTGGCATTAAAAGATACTCAAAGCACCAAAGCAAATTAACATGTCTGACATTAACATACAAATTCAGAGAGAGCGGGATTGAATTTGCAAATTATTGACATAATTTGGGCATAGATGAAAAACTTGATTTTTGAGAGGAAAAAAAAAATCAATAATAGCAATCAAGACATTTTTGTTTAACCATTCCAGTCAATGGATGGCATAAAGTCATGCATAAAAATAAACATGATCAAAACTTTATTGTGAAGATCTCAAAATTGACACTCCTAGTTGAAGGGATGGCTGAAAATTTTGAGATCATAACAAAGCAATCAGGATTACAAATTTTGTAGGGAAAGACAAAAAGAGAGATTGTGAACTGAAAAGTGAAAATCAAGCAAGATATGGAGTGATCTAATTGAACATGAAGAAATAGAAAAGGAAATGATAAGACCCTCATGGTACAAGATCTCCTCCAAAAACCGAAAAATAAGCAGAACAAAGTAATAAACTCTAATATAATTCATAAGTTCATAGACTAGTCTATTGTTATTGAGCATAAAACCTGTCCAGTATCAAAGAGGTTGCATATGTAAATGCCAAAGTCCCGTTGAAGCCACACGATATCTTGATCTGCTCCATGCATAACCTATTTGAATGAAATACTATTAAACTGTGATGTAAGCCAGTCATAAAATAAAAGACTGAATATATTAAAGTAAAAGGGATCAACCTTTTTCTTGGTGGGATCCTTGAAAACTTCTCTAAGATATGGACCAACATGAATGCGAAGTTTCAAAGTATCTACAATAAAATCCTCTGTTCTTGTAGATATTTGCATTAAGCAAGTCAATCCTTGAAAAGACCGATATTGATTATTCTCCAAATCAACCTGGAGAGTAATTAGCCACAATCAAAATCATGGAGATGAATCACGCATATAAATAAACATAATCGCATCCCATGGGTACCAAAATGACAAACACCTCATTCTAAACCTAGGGATGCATCAAACACAAAAGGAGACCTGTAAAGTGATTTTCTTACCGCAAATTCATTAACATTACGTAGCTTAGCAGCTAACTCCTTCAAATCTTTTACTTCCTCCACGAGCTTGAAAGAGGTAGACTCAATTGACAGGGGTTTCACAGCCACAACATTCTCTATATCTTTATCAACAAAATCCATAACAGAGAGCTTCTCCTATAAACATGAGACAAGAAAATGAAATAAATAGACACCGACAACAACAAATTTCTCTCTTTCTTTCTTTTTTTCAAAAGCACTAAAAGAATACAAGAGAAACCAACCAATTATTTAGAAGCCACAATCAAAACTCAACGAAGAGCAAGAGAGTTAATGCCCAAAAGAAAATTGAGACACTAAATGGGAGAAAGAAAGCAAAATCTGCAATGTATGACGCATGATATCTTGCAGCAGGAACAGATAATCATACCTCCTGAACCAAACTAGGAAACCGAATCAATGCAGCAGAGAATTGAAAATTTTGTAAAGTTAAATAAAAACTTATGGTAATGAACAGGCAGCTCTAATGAACATGAACATGCAGCTCTTATTGTAACGAAAATTTATAGCTTTAACATCTACTTGCCATAAATAATATCTTTTCCACCTGTGAAGAAGAAAAGAATGATGATAGTTTGGTTAAAACTGACTTTGCTCAGCAAGAACTTTCTCAGTCCATGATTTATTCCTTCACAGAATCTCTCTCATTTTCATCTAAGTCCCTAGGTTGGAGTCTTAAATAACCATTGGATGGAAACTTCAACACAACCAATCAAAAGAGACATGAGGTCCAACATAAATGATAAGCACACAAAGAAACATATTTAAAATTTCAAAAACATTCATGAAATTCAAGGTTCATGCCCAGACCCACCTCACACAAAGAAGAACCAAACAATTAGTACTTCCAAGACCCTGTCATTCAATATCCAGCACTAAGGTCAAAACCATTGACTTATTCAATTAAATCAAGAAGCTACTAATTTCAGGTCTCACTGAAGAGCCATGAAGCTTTTTTTCCCCTTTTGGTACTATTAGGTGAATTACTTTTATATCAACAATGATAGTAAATTGATATAAACCTTTGTGCACCTCCTCTACAATTAAGTTTAAGATGGATCTGAATTAGTTGATGAACAGAAAATACGTATTAAACAAGAGGAATCATGTTGGCTCAACTGAGTTAAGAATAAAAGAAAAAAAAATGTTGCTTTCCCCACTAAAACCAATTTAAAAGTATGTTCTCCTTGATAAAATCCACTTCCAGGCCTCAGATTTCTATGAAAGAAGAATTAGCCATAGAAACATTCCAGTCAGGTAACAAGAAAACAAGGAAAGGAGGACAAAGGTTAAAGATGGAACTATAGAACTAACCAGTGGATGAATAAACCGTTGCCCATCCTCACTCCTCTGCAACCAGACGTGCTCAAAGGGCTGGTTAGCATTATTCACCAGTATATTAAACTCTTCCTGCGATTTCCTTATCGTCGGTACGTGAAATGGCACCTTCGCCTTCCCTGTCCCCGACACAGCCTTCTTCACTTTCACCCCAGAAGAACTTGAATCAGGAGCCAACTCCCCCTTACCATTGACAGAGCCCCCACCCGAATCAATCGCAAAGTCACCAGCTTCTTTCTTCTTCTTCTTCCCGTACACCAACTGAAACCCATCTTCCTCCATCGCCGAGCTCAACACTCGACCCGTTTCCTTCTCTTTCTTCCTAATTCTCTGATATTCATCAATGGAAACATCAAACCGCTCGAGTAGCTCGTCATTCACGTTAACCAGCCAATCATACGCGTCATCTCCATCAACATCCACGTTTTCGGGAAAAGCGATTTGCTTGTTACCCCAGATTCGCCCCGACGAACCAATGGATTCAAGCATGGACTGTGATTTCGAGGCGATTTCCTCGATGGGAAGCTTGAACTCGTCGAAGTTGTAGAAGAAGTGAAAATCCTTATTGGAAGGGATGGCTTTGGAACTGGAGGAGAGTGAGGAGAGGGAAGGAGAGAGAGAGCCGGTGGCTAGGGTTTGTAAAGATTGGGCCTTTTCGGCAGGCGTTGGCTCCATGTTGATGGAATCGTTGCTCATGGTTGGGGTTTTGGAGAGAAATTACGGTTTCAAAGACTCCTTCAATTAGGGTTTTATAGACACCTTCAATTAGGGTTTTCAAGATTCCATAGTAGAGGACGGGTAAGGTCGTGTGCTCTTTGTAACAGTTACATTACATCCGAGAAAGACTGAAAAAAGGGACGGGACTGGGCTGGCAGCAGCCAGACATGGTCACGCGACCGAGGTGAGGGAGGGTGAGGAGGCACGTGAGCTGGGAGCGCATGGTATTGAAGGGAAAAAAAATAAAAATCAATTCAAAATCCTATCCGTATTAAAAGACTTATAAGAACATATACAATGAAGAACAATGAAAAAATTCACTTTGTTCAAAAAAGTACAAATAAACTTTGAGAGCGGCACTCTTGCTAGGGTTTTCCTAGGATCATTAAGTAGTGAGGGTGTTATCATCGTTGCTCTATCCTTCTTGGCTAGGTCCAGTAGAGGTCGGCTAGCAAAGGCTTACGGTTGGATGGTTTGTTACGCTTCAAAAAGTATTGTGGTTGTTCAGTAGGACAGTTTTCACCATTTTTGTTGATAGATTGGTGGTGTAGGCGAAGGTTTGGTAGATCGAGCGAAACGAAGACAGTTATTGATGTTCTTAAGTCTTCGATAGGCTAGGTGAGGTTGATGGACAAAAAATTAACGGATTAATTGGGAAGGATTGTTAGATTTTTGGTGATGGTTCCTTGTGGTGTAGACTAGAGATAGGCTTCTATAGGTGGTGTGAGTAAAGGAGGGAGGGTTGCGATGGGTGGTGGCTTGGTTTCTTGCTTAAGGCTACACTACTAGAGGTGGTAGGTTGGTGTCTGATGGGTAAGAAAGGCTATAAAGGGTTTTTATAATATGCTGGATAGTGGATTGCTTCTTGGAATAGTTTTCCATAGGGTGATGGAGGTTGTGGTGCTCATTGGACTAAATCTAATGTTGGTTGATTGTTTGCTCTGCCAAATTTGCAAGTTGATGAGAATTATATGCACATCCTATGACAATCCTCTGTACAAAGAGAGAAGCCCATTTGTATAGAAGCCCATGGTGATGTGTTTTTGTAGAATATGTGGAGGCTTCAAAATAGGAAAGATATTTTTGTAGGTGTTCAAAGTTCTCATCAAAGTCATGAGGAGGGGTTTGACAATGAGTGTATAGATTGGTTTTTCTGTGGTTACCATGATCATGTTTTAGATGGAGATGGCGACATTTTGTCATTAAGTTATTATGTTGGCTGTGCTATGTAGTATAACTAGGAGCTGGAAGGCAAATGATAACTAGAGCTTTGACATTTATTAACTAGTTGTCTTTTACTAGTTGCATTTATTATTCAGGTTGCTTTGTGCTTTAAAGGTATTATCAGTTGTAGTAGATGAGAATCATAGACTACTAAGTTGTCTCTATACGAAAGTAGGGGTCATCTTGTTATCACTTTATCTTATTTAACCCACATTTTATTTTTTAGGTTATTTTGTGCTTTAAAGGTTTCATTAATTGTAATTACTTTACTTGACCAAAATAAATCTTCCTAAAAAATTCTATCAATATTATTTTATTTAACCCATATTTTATATATTCAAAACAAAATATTTGAATTGAAAAAGAAAAATTTAAACTGTTGGATCCAAAATCCAATAGCATTGAAAGCAGATGCATGCCACTACTAGAAAAAAGCCATAATACAGTCAAGCATACACCGAACAAGGCTGTATTTTGATCGAAACACAAGTAATTCAATTAAGTATCTTGATGGAATTATTGGTTTGAATATGCTCTGTATGAAATATAATTTTGGAAAGAATTGCATCTTGACCGAAATAAAAATTACTTTGGTTAAGATGCTTGACCAAAAAAAGGGTTGAGTCAATCATTAAAGAACTCTTATATTTGAATAAATAATTTGATGAAAATATTTAAATATTATTTTAATCAAATATTTTGGTCAATAATAATCACCAAAATAATCATGAATTAACAGTTTTGTTTAGACTATTTTGGTGTAGATAAATGACCGAATTAATGGATATGGGTATTTTTGGTAATTTGCACCTTAGTTTTTCAGTCAATGACCTTAATTGAAATAAGATCTGGAGTAAATTTGTCCTAGACATATACCGGTCAAAATAGCTAACCAAAATAATACGAAGTGGATATTTTTGAAAATTTGTTGTATATGTTTTTGATTGGAAAATATGAGTGAAATGATAATAAATTTACATTTACTATCATATTATTTTGGTAAAATATTTTGACTGAAATAATGTAAAATTGAATTTGTTCAAAAATAAATAATAGATGTTATTTCGATCAACAATTTTGACCAAAATAAACATACATATTACAAAAAAAGTAAGATTGTTTAATGAATTTTAATGTAGATGATAAATATTATAATAAAATTTGTTATTAAAAAAAATTAAATTTTAACATCATCAACTATATACAATTCTTATATATTTAATTTATTGGCCTTTTATAGTTTGTAATTATTATTAGACTTATTTATTAATAATTATGATTAAATTTCTAAATGTGTAACAAAATGAAAAGAACTCAAAAATACTTTGCATTTGCAACAAGAATCCAATATAAATACAAAAATAAGTCAAATTCATATATATAACCACAAATAAGTCAAAGCATATAAATTAAAGCATGCAAATAAATTAACTAAATATATAAAAAATTAAAAATTTGAAGACAAATATTGAATCATGTAATAAAATTACCTCCAAAATGCTATCCCATTGTTCACCAACTTAAAGAACCCTAAGAATGAAAAATTAAATCACTAATACACAATTAAAACACCAAAAACATAAGATTATAGAAAATAAAGATAATTTTATACAATAAAATAATTAAAAAATGAAATTAAGAGAGATGGTAAAGAAACGAATTAGTATTAGTTTTGGAGAAAAATATGTGAAGAATATGAATAAAACATAAAAATAAAATACTAAGGAAAAGAAATAAGAGTAGTAATGAACAAGAAAAAGAAAAAGAAAGATGAAGACATGAAGAAATAATGAAAATTTAAAGAGAATTGTTGAAAGTTAGAGGAATAAGGGATAAAGAAAACCATAGAAGTTGGAGAAGAAAGAAGGTAAAGAGAAGTGGGAGAAGAAAGAAATGAAAGAGAAGTTAAAGAAGTGATGAAAAAGTCTAGTTTGATGTATTTATAGACTGTGTATTATTTTGGTCAGTATGACTGTTCGAAATAAAAAAGTGAAAAATTCAAATATTTTTGGAAAAAAATTCAAAAGGTAAGGCAGGTGGCCAAAAAAACTATGAGATTACTTTGGTTAGAAATTTTGATCAAATTAAACGTAATAGAAAATTCAAAAAATTTCATCAATTTTTCAAGGCAAAGATGAAGGTGTTATTTATTTATTTATATTTTCAAAATCCTTATTTTAATCAATATATATAACCGAATTAATTTAAGTTTGAATTCGGTCAAATATTTTGATTGAATTACAATCAATTTTCATATAGAACCCCATCTGAAATAATCCTTGTTTATCCTTTAATGCAAAATCTTAGTGTTGCTAACGAATTAAGAGGTACTTTAATTGCTGCACTTGTACATTGTCTTAAGTTTGGTCATGGTTTAGAATAGAAAAAGAACTGATAATAAAATAGAAATTTTGTGTTTTTTTTTTTAGTGTCTTATTAGTGAGTAATTACTTGAATAACAATAACTTGGAATTTTTTGAAAAACAAGCTTTATATGATTGCTTCTTTTCTTCTATAGTTATAGTGTTTAGGATCCTCTAGAATGAATATTAATGATATATCTAGAGCTATTTAGAAAGCTTTTTGGTTTTTATTTTTGTTAGAGTATGCCTTATGAGCTAACTAGGTTGGCAAGAGAATTGTATGTATTTGTGATTATGATTATTATATTTATGGTATTATTTTTCAAATATTAATTATTATTCTTCTATTTATGTTAAATATCGATAAAGTCCTTAGGATGTTTGTTATATCAAAAGATAGTAGTAGTTCTTGTTATTAGTGAGAACCGTATGATACGATAGTAATATTATTAAATTCTCAATAGTCATATATATTATTCAAATGAGACATCAATGATACAAAAACCATTATGCGTGACACTTTGTTAGGTGGTAAGACTTCTTTTCATGAAGTTACGTATCACATGTGGTGACTCACAGTAAGTGAGTGCATTGGACTAACTTACCATGAGAACTCTACATGTATGTGTTATTCGTAGCTTATCAACTAAGATGTGAATGTAAGTGATCATTCAACTTGAGATTATTATTATTCTTTGCGATGACTCATGTACTTTAATGTTGTTAAAAACAAGCACTTCAAGGGGTTGCAGGTAATACCATTATTGGGTCAAATCATATGAGAATAATGGGTGTATCAAGATAGGCTTCATCCTTCTTGAGTTTATGAGAGAAAATATCTCTATCTCTTTAACTAAGATGAGATTACTTGCAAAAATCCATGGCTATGGCATGAATGAAGACTCATTTAAGAAGTATATTTATTTTGGGAACCAAAGAAAGATATATTGAGTTTCAAGGATGTTGACACATAGCATACATCTTGCTTGATGGATATATCAATGACAAATGGATTAATTACACAAGTATTGGTCATAGGAAGGTTTGTCAAAGCCATTAACTCTTTTTGTCACTTTGGGTGGCTATGATGTGTTTATAGATACTGCTCTTAGTCTGTGAATGTTTCTCATTGCCATCGTGATAGAAATCTAGAGGGTTACACATTTAGTGCATTATGAGAATTGAAATTTATATAAATCTAAGTTTTTGGATATAAATTAATTTATGTGAAAGTAATATTTTCACAAGAAAAATAAATTAATCAAGATTCAAAACAAATTGGTAGGAAGAGTTAATTTAATTTAATTTAATTAATTTAAGTTTGAATTGATTCTAACTTAAGGACAAGAAAAATCCAAAGTGACATTTAAGTCCTTAAAGAACTTGTGGGTCAAAACCCTTACTCATTGGGCTTAGGGATTTAGTAGCATAATGGGCTTGAAGTCTTAGTCAACAATTCTAATCTATATTGGATTGGGATGTGTGGCAATAAAGGGAAAAATTAAAGAAAGGAAAGTCTTCTCCTTTTGAGTTTTCTATTTTGATTTAAAGACTAAGTTCGATAATTCTATGTGGATTAGAATTGCAAGTATTCTATTCCTATTAATACAAATAGGTATAGAAAACCCTAAATCCCGAATGATGGATAGTTGGTTTTTTCATCATAGAATTTTAAGCTACTAAAATTATTTTACCAAAACCCTAAAAGAGAACAAATTGAGTTATTGACTACTAGCACTTTTAGAGACTTGGTCTTCTTGGAATCCTTGAGTGTAGTTGTGAATTACTACTAGATGAATTATACACTTGGATTCTTGGATGGCTTCATCAGAGGATAGTGGTCAGATCTACACATCAATGAGGCATACATCATTGAGGTACTAACTATAAACCATTCCCTAATTGTCAATAGATTCATAAGGATTCTAGGTAAGTTGAAAGAGGATAACATTATTATTATTATTTTGAATTTTTCCACTTTTGCTGCACCCTTCTAAAACCAACAATTTCTTCTAATCATATGCCCACTCGAATGACATTTAGAACAGATAAATGAGTTATATAATGTTCTTTCTATTTGTGGTCTTGGTTTAAACCATTTTGATGTTGAATAGAAGCTATAATCACTTTTGTCATATTTTACATCAGAAAATTTCCTACAAATTTAAAAACTAGAGAGGAAGGTTTCGATTATTTAACAAGAAAATGTGTTGCTTTAGGTGTCACCCATGGTTTGGAGTATCTACACAAGCATTGCAATCCTAAGATCATACACAATGATTTAAAAGCAACAACATCCTTTTCAACAACTTTGAAGCTATTCTTGCAACTAGTTGACACTAAGTTGACTAATGTTACCACTCAAGTTCACGATACTATGAGTCATATTGCTCTAAAATATTTTTTCACTAGAAAGTCTTTGGATATGGAATAAGCTTCTTAAACTGGTAACATGTCAGCATACAACAGATTTCACTTGTCTTAAAGAGGAAGATGTTCTTCTACTTGACCATGTAAGATGTTCAATCATATATTCATCCATGAACATATGAACTCATTTTCCATTTTTTTTTTTTTTTTTTTTTTTTTAGGATGGGTTAGGATTTTTTTTTCCCTTTCCACTTATTCACTAGATAATTATCCACTTCTTATTGTCTAAAAACCTTAGATAAGTTTAGATCTTTCCTTAATAGTTGATATATTAATAAAAATACTTCTTCCTTTTATTTTGAATGTTGGAAGCATCTTTTTTGTCCTATAGAGTGTGGACTAGAGTAATAAAGTAGTTTATAGGAACCACTTTTCATCCTAACATAATTAAAATTGTGGATAACATCAACTTGATTACACATACTTTAGACATGAAAACACTTACATATATTATTACACTTCCAACTTTTATAAGGGCCTTTTAGATTGGTGTTAATATTATGATCAGCAAATTAAAAAACTAATAAGAGAAAATAGGCTTGATGGCATTGTGGATGGAAACTTGAAGGTATATGATTTAAAATAAGTTTAGACTATCGTTTAAATTACATTGCTTTGCACCCAAAGCTCACCTAAAGACTAACCAACATTGGTAGAAGTGGTGAAAATGTTAGAAGAGGTGAAAATGTTAGAAGAAGTGGGTCTAGCAAAGAGATAGGTTGAGTGGAAGCCATTTGGTCAAATAAGGATGTCTCACCTATTCTTATGGGTTAATGGGTCAAGTATTGATCAGTGTTATGAATAACGCCCGCTATGCCGCTATAACGACCATAAGGTAACGCTCCAAAGCTCCCCCACTATGATAATTGCCATAGCGTGGCGGATTACCAGTAGCGGGCGCTTTGACAGCTATAGCGGCCATAATCAAAATAGTGGATAGCGGCCGCCATTCACCCATTTGTTATTGCTTTTAAGAAGACAAAAATAACCCTTGTTCAACTAATTAGAGTCATTTTTTTAAGGGTAGATTTGTGTTTTCAATTTTATTTTATTAGAAAAAGACCTAAGTGAACCCCAAATCTCTCGACTACAGCTTGTCTTCTTCTCTCTAAAATCTGAAGTTCCCAATAGCCATGTTGCCTGTAGCCCTAAATCAACCTTGTCAATGGTAGGCAATAGCCCACCTCCCGACTCCATAGAAGTCCCCAAAGTTAACCCTATCCTCTACAGCAAGCCGTCTTGTTTTCCTCTCTTGTTCATAACCCAAAAATCCCCCTTCGATGATCAACCTCACAAGTCTAAAACTCCAGCCCCATATTCCCAAAGCGATCTAAATTCATCTCATACACCTTGTTGTTTGCATACTTCAGTGGTGTGTTGTTGTGGTTGAACAAGGAAAAAAAAGTGTTGTTGTCCCCCTATTGATTGATATACACTTTCTTTCTCCAATTTTTTTATCTTCCATTTTTTGAATTAAAGGATTATATGAACATTTACATAATGTATTAAACACTATCAAATCTGGTGGGTATTAAGCAAACCATAAACCTCTCAATCTTAGCATGTAGAGTATGTGCTGCAACAAGCTATTGCCTAAATCATGTAGACATACTGTTTTTGATATTCTTCCAGAAGTTAATTGGTAAAATTATTCTTAATGTTCAATTGTTAGCAAAAGTTATCATCTGTATTTTATTTAGTAATTTGCCATGCTGTCTTAGTTTGTAAGAATTGGAATTGCCAACTACTTGTGTTTTACTTTAGTTTGTAGCAAAAGTAATTGTGTTTATTTTACTTTATTTGCTTATATTATGTTATTTTTGGCAATGTTTTTTTTTTTTTGAGTTATTAGGTCATTTTAATTTTTTTATTAGGTTTATAATTCAATTAGTTAAATTTACATAGATACATACATATATGTGTGTGTGTGTGTGTGTGTGTATTGCCGCTATTGTGTCAATAGCGGTCACTTCACTATTTGCTACACCATGATAGTGGATTTTTGCCTTCCTGTTATTGGCCGCTTTCCACTACTGATAACACTGGTATTGATCAAGAAGTAATACAATTGTCTAGTCCTAAATAGAGCTTTTTCTTACCTTTGCATGAAATTAAGTTTATAAACAAAGTAGAGTGTTATATAAATTAAATATTTATCATGATATTAAAATCCTAAATTGTAGCATATAAGTTCCTAATTGTATTTAGAAAAGATTGGTACTTGTGCTCCCCCTCCTCCTTTTCCCCTTCCCATTCCCTTTTCCCTGTAGACCCAAACAACTTGTTCTAATACATCAAAAAAAAAAAAAAAAAAAAAAAAGAAGAAAAAAAGTTCCTAATTATCTCTTAACTAATAACTTAAATATTGAAAATTCCTTGGAGTCATTTATGTGTGAAAGTTTGATTCCACTCTTCTCATACCAATCCATTGAACATTTGAACTCCATATTTCCTAATTGGTTGCAAGAGAACATACCTAACTTGTCTACAAGAATTAGTACAAGAACAATTCTAATGTAATATTTAAAAATTGCAAAACCCCTTTTTAAGTTCTCAGGTTTGTCCTAAATTAACATGTAAGCCTTCAAACTAAAAAAGGTGTAAATAAACCTTCAAATCTCTCGAATGATGCAAATTAGTTGTCAAACATAATTACGACCCCCCTTTTTAAAGTAATGACATGTGATACCATGATGTGCAATTCTATATCTATGTTGTGAAGAGTGTTATATAAATTCATTAAAGTGCTTTTGTGCTCATGAAAATATGAAGAACTTACCATGTATTCCAATAATCTTTTTCTTGAGCATTGCATTGTTTCATTATAAAATTTTTCAATTTTTAAATGACATGTGAAAATTTTATGAAAAAATTTTACAAAAGAATATTCTTATATCATTACTTAATATAATTTTCTAGATCATATAGGTACCATGTGGGCGCTAACATTGTTTCTTATAATAAAAGTAAAGGAGAGTTAACACGCTAAACCATTTTAATAACAATTTTAAAGTTTGTGGATGATTTTGTGAGAAAATATACTTTAGGGACTAAACTGATAACAGACCAAAGACCATTTATTAAATTTAGCCCATTTCAATCCGTAAACCTTGACTCCATGTTGACCACTTTGGAGATTTTATTTTATTTTATTTTATTTTCTGCGGCCACCTTGCGGCTGCGTACCTCGCAGAACGTGGTAGCATAAAAATGGGGGAAGGGTTCTTGCTCCATTCAAAGAAACCAGCACAATTTTAGGGTTTTCACCCTTCTTGCTCTCCTCTACCAGTGGCTTACCTTCTTCCTTCGATCGCCACCCAAATGAGGTTCTTTTTTTTCTCTCTCTCCCTCTGATGATTCTTTTAGTTGCATGATTACCAACTCTTAAGCCCTTTGCTTCCCTTACGAAATAGGCATAGGCATGACCCTTGAAATGTTTCTGAATTTTTAAGTAAATCCAAGAGTGAATCTGGGAATGTAGGATAATTCTAGGTTTTAGATGGCTTAATTGTTTTTGGGCTTTGGGTCGGAAAATGTTTAGTCCATCTCGGTGTCGTTTGTCCTGGTGAGTGTAGAAAATGGACTATCCCCAACAAGCTTGGATTTAGGCTTCGACCATACTGCTTTTTAAATCCTTTCGGGAATTTTCTTATATTTGTTAGAACTAGGGACATGGAATCATTTGAAGAGTATTCTACATTCTGCATTGCTTGCTTGATTTGTTGCTGCACTTGTATCTGTATGTGCTGCTGAGATATGTTTGCCTTAAAACTGAAGTTTGTAGTTCTCTATATCTTGCAGTCGCCATCCGGAGGTTCTCTGGGCTCAGCGCTCTGACAAAGTATCCTTGACAATTTCCTTACCTGATGCAAAAGATATTTCTGTGAAATCTGAGCCTCAGGGATTGTTTAGTTTCTCTGCCACAGGGATTCAAGGTGAATCCTTCGATTTCAGCTTGGAACTTTATGGAAAAATTGTTCCTGAGGTGAGCTTTTAAGTACTTGTTTCTAGAATTCTTTCAATTAGGGAGCACCCTATATTATAGAGAATTACAAAAAATTTTGCTATTGATTTTTCTCTTTTCTGTATGTTTTTGTTTATTAAAAATCACACCCTGGGCAGTAGATGTGGTATACAGGGTGCTGCTCTGGTCTGCAAGGTAGTGGAATTTATGTTTGCACAATCTATACAGCATATAAGGATTGCAAAAAGTTCACACTTTTCATATCTAGATCAGAGAGAACTTTTTCGTGTTGAAATTAAAAGGTTGATTAAAAAAGGTCAAATCAAACTGTTTAGCCTAATGTTGAAAGTTTAGCCTTTGTGATGGACCTTGCATGAAGTAAAGTGTGTTTAAATCAAGAAATTGAAGTTTTACATGGGACGGTGTGCACTTGAAAGAGTTAAAAGGATATGGGATAAAATTGAAAAACAGAAATACCATCAGAGTCTTTGTTTATGAGGTCATAGTGTAAAGCTCTTATATTTAAAAAGATTTCCCTGGAGATTAAACATTCAACAATGAACTCTTTTCTTTTGTTCCATACTGGCTATGCATTTCCTCTTTATAATCATTTATTTCACTTTCTGGTGAAGGATGTCTGAAGTTATCTGAAGTTCTTGGTGACTCTTCTTATGCTGATAGTGTCATTTCTTCTAAGTCTGAAAAAGAAAAACTATTTTGCTTATGTTCCAGGGTTGCAAGACTAAAGTTGGGTTAAGAAATATAATATGCTCTGTCCAGAAAGAAGAGAAAGGTTGGTGGAAAAGACTGCTGAAGTCAGAGGAGAAACCTGCACCGTACATTAAGGTTGATTGGAATAAATGGTGTGATGAAGATGAAGAAGAATCAAATTGTAAGTTCATTATTCTCATGTTAGTTACGTTATGAGCTTTTCACCTTGTCCTATGTCTGTGGTGTGCCTAGCAAACTTTGAAGTCTAACCTATTTCTGGAATTTATATCTCACAGATATACTGTGCTATTTTTGTTTAGAGCTTTCTGTGTGAGTGTTCATGGGGCATCTAAAATATTCTACTTAGGCTTCACCATGTTAGAATCCCACCCTTTATCTACTTTGATATCTTCAAGATTTTTTGAAGATGATGGAATACATTTATACATTAACAGGTGAGAAAAGTGAAAATCAGGATGTCCTGGCACTTTAAATGCTAGGACTCCTTGTGAAATTGTTCAAATACCCTTAATGAATCTTTAAGTAGGCAGCTTTCAAACCAGAGGAGATGCTTTTTCCACCCACCAATGTTCTTTCCATGGCACAACATTCTTGTGTGGAAATATTTTTATTGCTGCATAAGCTTAAATGTGTCGTGACCCTTACAGACTCCACAGCTATTTGTAGAATAAGTGATTTAGTTCATTTCCTGGATCCTGGTAGAAGAGTAATATGTTAACAAAGTAGTATTTGAGGAAACCTTCATTTGGTTCTTTGGAACATTTTGTCATGTATAATTCTTTTTAACGATTCTCGTTGTCACAACCTTTTCGAATGTAGAGCTTGTTAATGAAGCTATTGCAACATACCCCACACAAGAACTGCTTTCATACCAAATTCATAAAGCATTGATGCTTGATCTTGTTTTGCATTACAGTGGTCTCTATGAAGTTTTCAATCTTTTCTTGTAAATAAGAACAGATTTAGTTTTCAATGTTATGAAACATGGATTTTAAATTTTTGAGTAGAAACTTCACTGGATTTACTGATGTTTGTTTGGTACTTTGCAGCTAATTTGGCCTCTGATGATGATGCAGCGGTAATTTAATCATTTTGGATTTCTCTTGGATGTATGGTGTTGTCAAGAATGGTTCAAGACAATAATATATACTTGGCAGTTGATCCTAAGACTCCTGTGGGGGAGATAAGAAGAAACCATCTTCTTGAGTGATAAATAAAGCAAACCCCGAAGTTCTAAGCAATTAAAGACGGGCTAATACTCCAATATTCTCAAAGAATCTGCTACAATAAACTCATCCACATAAACCCAAATTATATCTACTTAAAGATCAAATTTGCACTATAGAGCAAGGAATTAGTG